AGTGTATTATTCTGAGCGCAACTCACGCAACTCATTGGCCAAGCTTCCGGAATTAGGCAAAGGTTTGGCATGAACAAGCCGTTGAAGCTGTGAGCAAGAGGATAAATCTTCCGGGCCGTTCCTGGGAGAACGGTGCCGTCGCTATAGCTGTATAGCTTCTACCGGAATTTTGGGTACAGGGAAACGATCGATATAAAACAATAAGAAATAAGCGTTGATGCGAGTTGCAGATGGAGTCGGTTCATCAAACTTCTCAACTGTTCAGCCAAACCTTCCTTATCACAGCTGCCATTGTTCTCGTCGTCAGAGGACAGGCACTGCACATCCTTCAAAGACTTGAGAGAAGTTTAGACCAGCCTATTAATATTGTTTATAGTTAACCTTCTTGTGAACAAATGGACTGCAGTGCGAGAAGACACGGACAATCCCCAAACACGTTTGGCTCAGTCCTTTTCACCAGCCACTTTCCTGTCCGAGGGCTCCTGGGCGTGCCAATATAGTTGTTCCACGGGTCAGTGGCTCACTCACCCCCCCAAAAAGATCGAGTACAAGATCCCAATTCAATTTAGAATGCATATTTGGGAGTCTGTCGAACTTTGCTTCAAGTGTTCTTTGTAGTTTGAAGACGGTTTGAAGCAGTCCTCAGCGTCAAGATCAATGGCATTTTGAGGGCAGCGAGACGATGAACTTGACACCTGTGCCTGTGGACCTGCGACTTGAGGCTCCACTACAGTAGGCTTCTCCACTGTTTGTTGCTTTGCTGCTGCATCCTGCTCTTGCTGCCTTGCTTGGCTCTCTGAAGGTGATAGCTGTTGCATTGTTTGCTGCTGTTGTGAGATTGCTGGCTGCCTTGTAGCCGGGTCATGTTGTTGTTCAGTTGACGGCGGCTCGAACTGCTGCTGCACAGTTGCGGGTTGCTCTGATGCTGAAAGCCAAGCCTGTTGTGTTGGAGGCTGTTGTGCTGCGGTGGGTTGCTGTGATACTGTAGGCTGGTCTTGTATTTGTGGTTGCTCTGATGCAGCCTGCTCCCACAGCTGCTGCACAGTAGGAGGCTGCTCTGTTGCCGGTTGCTCGGATGCTGAAGCCTGAGGTGCGGGCTGCTGTGCTGCTGCTGGCTGCTCTGATGAAGGCTCCTCACACTGTGGCTGCACAGTAGGAGACTGGTGTGCTGGTGCCAGTTGCTCTGATGCTGAAGACTGTGCCTGTTGTGGCACAATTGGTGTTGGTGCCTGTTGCTGTGATGCTGAAGGATGCTGCCCCTGTCCTGGCTGCAATGCACTTGCGGCATACACGCTAGTCTGCGTTGGCTGCATGGGCAGTGCCTGGGAAGGTGCCTCCTGCCCAAGCTGTGCTATGGCTGCAGGGGCTTGTGGTTCCACGCTTGCACTTGACTGGTTTGGTAGTGGTGGAGGGATGTGGTCTGCAAAATCATGCTGCGCTTCCTGTGCTGGCTTCAGATGCAGTGCTTGCTCGTGCTGAGGAGTGGCTGCAGGTGTGATGGCTGTCATGCCTTGGCTAGCTTCCACAGCTGCTGCCTGTGGTTCCTGTGCAGCATAGTCCAAAGTTAGTGCTGAATCAGCGGATTGAAGTCCTGGACGGCCGCCCTCCTGAAAAGGATGAGCATGGGTGAACGGTCACCGTTAGACTTCCGAACGTCTTGAGAAAACGATGCTGGTGGTTGGGCCCTTGATCTTTCAACCTGTTGACCTTTCACACAGTGGATTAATGATCCCCGGCTATGTCAGTCCTGGGGGTGTTGTTTCGGAGCCATTGCCAAAGATCCATCATCCTGACAAGTGAGGGGATCAAGGCCCCCCACCATAATTCATTGGGATGCATCCACGTCATGTGTTCATGGTTCGAACATGATGCAAATCAGCTGGTCTATGATCCATTATCTCACGTCTAACTTTGGCCGATGAATGTAATTTGCACCAACCATGCAGTCATGGAAAAGAGTTTCTAAAGTATACTGGAACCAACGCAGTCCTGCTCAATCAGGACTCCCATCTCCACCAGAAGGCTTTGCACGGACTTGTCCTGGCACAGGCGTGGGCTGGAAAAGGAGCACTCGGGAAATCGTTTAACTTAAACTTGTGGAACCCCTCAATCATTTATAACAGCAGCCTCATGCAAGCGAGCCCCAACAACCCCTAAGTCCTTGGGACAGCGCTTCAAGCAGGTAGGGTGGTCTTTGTCTGCCCTAACTGTTCCCTTCAGGACAGATATCAGGTGTCGAATGGTCCAAGCTTGTTGACCAATAGTGTGCTCCGAGACTGGTCGATTGTGAAGAGAAAAAACTTGCTTCACCTCGTCTTCTAAATTCTCTATGTTGAGAACAGAGACTTCTCCGTAAGCAGGTTGGGCAGTGGAAAGAAGGCGGCATACATGCAGCAAAACGCAAGCGTTGTGCTTCACATTGAAAATGGAACGCTCAACGAAGGTGTTGGTAGGCCTCTTGAGTTTGGCATCATAGTGGGTCAGGAGGTTCCACCCTTCCCTCAAACGATGCCGGACCTCTGGATCGTTGTCCCACTTCAGTGCCAGTCCCAAAGCCACTGATTTTTTTTTCCCTTTGTCCTCTGGAGCTTCAAAGGGCGCCAGCGAGGGATTCGCTTCAGCCATCCGCTCTCAGACCCCTAGACTTCCACTCAAAAGGTCAACTTGCAGCCCAAACTCGCTGCGCAGGCTGAAGACTGGCAAAGACTGAGCTGAGTTGAGCCCGCCAAAGAACATGCGGAATTTATAGAGTATATCTCTGCAGTAAACCAGCAAATCCGAAGAATATGAAAGAATGTGTGTTTTCTTAATTTTTCTTACCGGCCCATACGGGTCCCAAGTCAAAGCAACACTGTATAGATGGCACCTTGATTCCACTCCGTCAGCATCAGCTGCTCCAAAAGGAACCATGGCAATGGTGCAGGCTGTATCGGCCGGCTTACACTTCCTTTGAACACCAATTTGGAACATGACATTCCTATAGATTTGAGGAAGCCGCCAGGTACCAAATATCAGTGCCTGTTGAACATCATGCACATGCAATCATATGGATTGGAATCTTGGATACTTGGATAGTCCTGCATGGAGACGCAGGTCTGCATGGGACCTGCGTGTGCTATCACGAACTGAAACCTGTGCAGCGAGACGAGAAAAGGAGGCACCACTTGGGAAGAGGTTCATGGAAGGCTCAAAAATGAAGCATGTTATGTTCTTTGTTTCATAGCCTATATACAAACTTCTTTGAATTACGCATTTGACCAGGCGAACGGGTTCGAACGCATATTCCTCGTCCGTCCCAAGAATTGTTCGTCCAAGTCCAAATTCCAAGGATTCTTGCATTGCCCCAACTATTGTTGGGATTGACGTTTAGCAGGTATATATATGTAGGATGTTTAAACAACGATATCAATATCTGCATCCTTACACCACCGTATGTTCAGGGCTGGACAGCCCCCAAAGGTGCCAATGGACTTCGGTTTGTAGCTGCTGTTTAGATTAGCAACGTGTTTCTCAGCACTTTGGCAGCCCAGTGGTGCGGTGAAGAGTTTAACCACTGCGTGTATTGTCTTAAGGCTGGATAGCTTTAGGATTGGAAGGAATGATGTTTGAGGGAATGGACAGCCCCAGTAGTGAAACTTTGAGAGGTTAAGCCACTGGGCTTTTCTGAAATTGGGCCTAAAAATTTGGCCACTTCAAGGTCTCCAACACATGTCACACTGTGAAAAACACCAAGCACGCAACAATTGAGGTAGGTACAAAACATGTGTGTGTATTTCAAGAGGGAGACCTCCAAGCAATGGGTATTTCCTGGTCTATTTCCCTGCTTCCAGGGGGTCGAGCTGCAAGGTCTCCCTATTTTAATACACCCAGTCAAGATCTGAAGGACTCCATGGACTAGTCAACGACTCAATGGACTTAGTCTGAAACAATCTCCTCTGAAACCACCCACACTGATTGAAAAGAAGGGAAACGGCACACCAACGGTTTTGGCATTCGGATTTCATGGTCATCCGAAATCGAGGCCGCGCCATCCATCCACGTTGGCCCATGATGGGCCATCAAGCAGTGTAGTCTTCGACCAACTTCGAGGCCGCGCCTGTTGCCGATCCGGGAGCAAGAGGTGCTGCACAGAGAACTCGTGCGCGAACCTCAGCCAGCTTCGATTTGAAGGTGTGGCCACTGGAAGTGTCGGGAAAATCTCAGAGTTCCCGGAACATAAAGATTAAGTGTTCTTCATGTCCCATGTTAGTAGGGTGTCAATGGATGTCACCAATCATCCCAAAAGGTTTTGTAGGTTCTCCTCTCGCTGGATTGGTTGGGATCTACTTTACTGGTAGGTGGTTTTCCAAATGAACTTTGTATGCGTGGAACATGGGAAAGGTGACCTTTGTTGTATACTGTGTTTCAACATCAATCCATTGTGTCTTAATAGCCGCAGCCACATTTGACAAACAAAATATATAACTTCCGTGTGCCTCGCCAGATTCATCTTCCTGTGCTAAGATTCCGAAGACTCAAGTTCCAGCACTTGCAATCATACCAGCAGTCCAGTCCATTTCGATGGCCTTTTATGCCCTTGGTTGGTTGAACAATAGAGGGGATTGTATCCCAGGCGAATCAAGGTACACAGATTACCGAATCGACTCCTCGTTCTTCTTCTCAAGGTCGGACATCTTTGGATTAGATAATTATTGCATAGAATATATCATATCCTAATATTACATTTATATAATTTGAATATATGCATTTTCAGAAGGCTTTCTTGGACTTTGCCATGCCAGTCTGATGAGTCAAGCGGGCTTTTGGAGCGCACCGCCACGGGCAGCCCGTCTAAGGGAGAACAAGGGGCAGTCGCTTGAAGGAGAATGGTCTGTTTCATATTCCCGGTGACAAGACAGTCTTGCTATACAAAAAAGGGGCTGTCGCTTTGTGAAAGTGCATATATTCTATAAATGTGTCCCACATCCTAAAGATCTTTTTGTTTGACGATCCCTCAATCTTGTGTGTGTGGCGACTTCCCAGTCTCACTTGCTCATCACTTGTCTCTGTCTGCTGTGGATTGATTCTTTCCACCGGACCTGGGCTGGGGCCAACTTTGAGCCCTCACTGGTCCTTCTTCTGCAACATCATTTTGCGCGAAGATCGTTGCTCGTCACCCGTCCTCGGCTATCATCCAAGAGATGCTGAAGTGAAGAAAATGACCCAAACATACCCAGACCATCCATGGGACTGGCCTTAGATAACATTAGGGTGAGCCAGAAAGGGATCAATGTAGGCATAGATTCCAGCCCATGAATCCCTTGGTGAGAAGTGAAGCGCTGGAATTCAAGTCCCGAACTATTCTGCAACACATAATGGCCTATACCAGCACTATTTAAGGGATTATACTAGTTGCATTACCCCTGGATGAACCTGGTACTTCCTTTCGGAGATCAAACAGCTCCTGAACACGAACACGGCCACCTCTGGACCACTAGGTCCTCATGTTCAAGTAAGACGTGGCTCGGAAGCATCATGGCCTAAGCACATGATGGTCACCCATACCCACTTGCAAAAAAGAGACACAAAGAGGGAGCGAGCGAGGAGGGAGGGAGGGGAGGGGAGGGAGGGGAGGGAGGGAGGAGAGAACCATCCCAAATCTGCTCCAAATATCTCCATGTCAGAGGTCTTTGGTCTCAGTGTTGCAGGATTGTTTGGTCTCATGTCACCTCAGATCCTGGGAGCCATACCGCCAGTCCGGACCGGGCATCGTCCTGTCCCGAAGGACCGGACCCGTTTCGGAGCGTCTGTTCCAAACGGGTCGTGAGGACCGATCTGCTTGAGCATCGCAGCAGTCTTCGCGCCGCTAAGCCAAGCGGTCAGGTTCGGAGGGGGAGATCTTAGACGTTTTGATTGCACAAGTACCTTTGCCCTCAAAGTACCTCGGAAAATGGGTACACCTAGATACCTGTTTTTATGAGGGCATGTCCCATTTTCTAAGGTACTTTGGAGAGTCAAGGTACATAAAACTAAAATTACCACCTGAGTCCTTCAAAGGGATGTGTGACTATTCCATTCGAGACCCCTTGGAAGGCGATGGTATACGGTATACCGGTATACCTTTGGTCAGCGATTGTATACAACGTTTAAATTTGCCACACAAATGGCATACTGTACATAAAGTGTATCCTGCCTCAAATCCAAGCTTCCTGGGGCAGCAATGGTAGGTCAACACCATCACCTGTTCCGCACAGCATTCCGACAACTGTCATGGGTCAAGGCCCTTAAGGCTGTCATGAGGACATATGGAACAGCGATGCATGTATACATCTACAAGGGGAGGCTTTGTAGGGTAAGACTCTTCAAGCATCTTCTAAAAGATCAACGGCTAGCACAGGTGAGGTTCATTCATATTCATGCCAATTCATTCCGCCAGCTTCAGCTTCACGTCATATCTTGATTATAATGATTTTCTCCATCTGGCTATGGGTCACCAGGATCCCTTGGTTGACCTACCGACGTGACGGATGTGACGCGGACCGGTGGACTGGTCGTGCTCCAGGTGGGTCACGATCCCCCCGACTCGCGCCGCAACGAGCAGCAGCGGCCACATGAGGATCAGCGCCAAGAGTTCCTGGGCTGAGCCGACACTCCGCGGCCGAGGCCGAGGCGAGACGAAGGTCAGGTGAGAGAACTTCAGGGACTCGAAGAAGAGGAAACACAGCTCGAACCTGTAAGAAATCGACATGGAAACACAGCGAAATCGTGCAGCAGCGAAAACAGCCAACACATCCAAACCTGGGAGCTGCCCCTCGGAATGCGGTTGTCATGTTTTTGCGCTCGCCTCGCATCCGGCGATTGGGCGATTGGAGTGGGCGCGCAAACATGAAGGCTGGCCCGAGAGGTCGACGATGGACTGTCTAAAGTCATGATCCTGGTCATGTTTCATGGGCAAGATGTGGTGCTTTGACATGCTTTCACAGGACACTCTGCCAATCGACAGATTTAGTTGCTGCTCGAAAAAGCAAGGGCATGGCTCACGAGGGCCCCTCAGCTTTTTGCTGAACCATTCAAAGGGCCGACCTCTGATCTTGGTTGTTTTCTCATCGGATCCGGGGAACCGACATGACTCCTGACTCCCTCAATCTGTTTCTGGAAAATACCGGTTGAATTATAGTTAACCATGGTAAACCTTCGCGCACATCTACAAGTTGAGTGGGGACACTATCCATTTCATCAAGAGAGTTTGGCAGGTGTTCTGGGATGTTCTGGGATGTTCTGGGTAAGTAGGGATGGTAGGATGAGGTAGGTGAAACATCGGTCGGACACTCACCTCTCATCGTTGGACAATGACACTCACCCGACTCACCTGTTGGGAGATCTGCTGAGTGTCTCTTCTCCTCCTCTGCTGGCTCAGAGTCTCGAAGCTCGGGCCGCTCAGAGTCTCCTCCGCAAACAAACGATGGGGGGGTTCAAAGCACCAAACAGAGTGAGGCGTTCGGATCGCGTTCCTGGAAGGGGTGGTTGAAGTTTAACACATGTGTGCAAATATACACAGATTAACTTATGTATATCAGTTGAGCGGAGCGGTCTTCAAAATTGTATTGTCTTTTCTTGCCGAGACATCAAACCTTACGGTAGGATTTGCGCAAAGCTTACGTTTTTCTATGTTTTGCTTACGGTGACACATGTATGCATGGCTATTCTTACGTTGTCCTTAAGGCAAACCTTGCGGACACCTTACAAACATCAGCTAAAATCACTATGTTCAATTATGTTCACTGATTTTTCGCCGGTCCCTGACTAAAAAAGGAAGGGTGAATTTAGAACGCTGCTCAGTTGATCTATAACTTTGTTAACCTTAAGAAACAAAATATCTCGACTGAACTCTCAACTGATATTACTTAATCATTGATGAAGCAATGGGGCACTTTGGAGCTTTTAAACATGACATCTTGACCACTGGCCTCCTTGGGCACTCATGACCCCGATAAGTCCCGGCCATGGGGTTGGGGTGTGAAAGCAATCCCCAATATATATATATATTATATATATTTATATATAAGTTTTAGGGCCCCCTCAAGGGCGCAGAACCCCATTTCCGCAGTTTTTTGGGATATGTTCAGCTATGTTGACATTGTGGGCGGCTGAAACCTGCAAAAGCGATAGGCCTCCCTCAAAAGCGATAGTCTTGCTGAATCATGTCCTTTGCTTTTGGCAAACGCTCATGTATAGTTCTGGGCGCATGAAAGGTTGCGTCTCGGCACTTTTCCCGGGTCAGGTGAGGTTTCTCTGGGTTTCAAACGGCCTCCATTCCCCCCCAAGACCACCTCTGGGCGGTCAGGGCTGGTCGTCTTGCGGTCTTCCAGGGCGTCACGGGCTGCCCGCCCGACGCGGGCGACGCGGGTTCTTCCGCGGGCGCCGGCGCCCAGGAAGAGCCGCTCCAGCGCCAAACGAAGGTGCTCCTGGGAGGCACGTTTTGGGCCAGCAGGATCAGCAGGTTATGACCCAAACGCTCCATGGATGTAAATGCTATGCCTTACATGGACCCCTATTGGAGGGTGCTGGTGACCAATGGAACAACCAATTTGACAGGTCGCGTTGTGTGTGTGTGCGCGTGTGGGGCGAAAACCTTCGAGAATTGGTCCATCGACGGTGCTGCTTCATGGATTTGTAGTGGCCCATCCGTGGGGGACCATCAAAGCACCAAAGCCTGTGCCAGCCTGGGGAAATGGACCGGCATGCCGGACTTCTGAGGCTACGGGTATCTAAGTGAACTGAACTGGTCAATGGTCCAGCACAGAAAGGAGTTCAGTGTCACTCCCAGCATGCTTTTGCTCATCACTATAGCTAGGGATCTTTTTAGAGCAAAAGGCGCGAGACCCAACATCATCACAGCGCTCTGTAACTGAGTAAAGTTGACACAACTTCAAAGCTCCACTCTGCCATTCTTTCTCGAGTTTCGTCCAACGGTCGAACAGTCCTCCTGACACGTGGGCGACTGGAGCTTCTGGTCGCGCCAGGGCAACGACCTGCCTCGAAAATGCATGGGAAGTCGATCCAGAAAGCGAACAGACGCGGAGGTCCCTTCAAAAACGGAGTGTGGAACAACTTGGAAAAACGGGGCATGACCCCATAAAGACAGGTACTTGTAGTACTTGTACTGATTTTCCGAGGTAATTACTTTGAGACTCCAGGTAGTCGTGACTCCAGCTGTTCAAAAGGTTGGAGCCTCTCTCCCACATGCAAAGGTATGATTGTCTTGGATCTCCCGAAGAAACCAAAACGCCCCTGACCCAGCGCATTCGAAATGACTTGGAGACCTAGGGCAACGAGGTTAGGGACCCAACTTCCAGTCCCCCAGGAGCTACTCCCTAACCTCTGAAGAGTGGACGCCGGGAGCTACGCGCCTCGGCGCTTCTGAAGCGCTTTCGCTGCGCAAAGAGATTCAAAGGCAGGAAAACTGTGAACAGGTGTTCCGTAGCTAGAGACCTTATAGGGGGTTGTGCTTCGAGGTCAAGGGGTAGTGAATGGACCCCCCTTACCACCAATTGAAATCCCTTAGGTGTTTCGCAAGGTGTCCTAAGGTGTTTGGAAGGGGCTTTGAACAAACTGCTGTAAATTGGGGGCCTGGCTCCAGAAGAAAACAATAAAAGGCAACCTTCGAAGCACCTAAAGACTTGGATCGAAGCCCTGAAAACCTCAAAACACATACCTACACATATTCCATCCCGCTGGAAGAGCTACCTACACTTTTGTTGTTTCTTTTCTTGTGCATGCATAATAATGTATCATGTCAAAACCCGATGCAGGAGATGCCCGGAAAAGAAAGGAATTTACCCTAATGACAATTTCATAGCGTTTGGGGCTGATTTCCTTTGGTTTGG